ATGTGTCTGGCATGTTTTTCAAGCCACTGAGTTCAGTGCTCCAACTGTGGAGTCAGTCCTGTGGGATCTAGCTGCCGTAACCACCATGCCATGGGCTGGCCCTGGTTTTATCATAGTATACATTTTCCCTGAACTTTATGAAGACACCCCCGCCCTGTATTTTCAATAATAATAAGGCAAACATACATTTAAATACTACTCAGGCTAAGGACTCCAGCCTCTATTTTTTTTTTTTTTGGAGAGGTTTTTGCTATAGGGCGCATGCGCTCGCCAGACCGACAGAGAGAGACGGAGAGACAGAAAGCGAGAAATCATCCCCCAGGGGGGATGGCCACGTCGCATTCCCTTCTCCTCCATTCTCCTCTCGGGATCTTGGGCACGCACGCACACGCACCCAGCGTGAGTTTTAAGCCAACGGGTCCAGGACGCGAACCATGGTCGACTACGTGGGAGTCCAGCAACATAGCCATTACGCTAACTGCTGGTTCCCAGGACTCCAGCCTCTACATGTCACCTCCACCTCCATCATAGTCACCTTCTCCCTTGCTAGTGGGACCTCCTATCCTGATGTTTATGCTACTAACACTCATGCCTCTGTTACAGCTTTGCTGCCTGTGAAGGCATCCTTGTACAATATCATTTGGATTGGCCTGCTCTTGAAATTTTTATAAAGGGAATCATGAGTAGCATGGATTTTTCTGTGTTTGGCTTGTACTTGTGAACTCCATTCCTGTATCTCAAGGCTGTAATTCCTTTTCTTTACCATGTAGTACTATGTTGTCAAATATATTGTCATTTCCTTACATATTCTACTCCTGATGGGCACGTGGCTCATTTCCCATAGTTGGGTATTGGGAAAAGTACCATGCATGTCTCCCAAGGACAGAGTAGTTCCCCTTGTATGTAGATTCCCTTTCCATAGTTGCAGTTACCCAGAGCCAACTCTGGTCCAGAAACAGGTGAGTACAGAATAATAAGATGGAGAGAAACAGAGAGAGCACACATGTGTATTCACATAACTTTTATTACAGTATATTGTTATCATTGTTAAGTTTTATCATCAGTCATTGTTCTTGATCTTTTACTGTGCCTAATTTATAAGTCAAACTTTATCCTAGATAAAGTTGGTGAGGATGTACAGGAAAACCCTAGTATACGTAGGTTCTGGTACTACCTGTGGTTTCAGACATCCACTGGGTCCTTGGGATGTATCCCCCACAGGTAAAGGGAGGTTACAGAATGGCCTGTGAATGTGATCACTGGGCTATTCGGCATGTGTGTCTTCAACTTTATAATACTTTCAGATTATTTTTCAAAGTGCTTGTGCCAATTTACTCTCCCACCAGTAGTGGTTGACAATTCTCTTTGCTCTGTATTATTGCCAACACTTATTATTGTTAGTCTGTGGAAGTTTTGCCCATTTGCTGGGTGAGCAGTGGTATGCCATTGTGTTTCTAATCAAGGTCTAATGTACATGCTATAAAATACATAGAACCAAGCTGTCTGCTACAACATAATCACTTTTGACAGGCCACCAGGAGAGCATTTTCAGATTGCAAATTGTCCTGAAGGTGCTTGCAGTTTCAAAAGAGAAACAGAACAGAAAACACACCCCCACTCTCACCTCCTTTTAGCTCCATGCCCTCCGCTCTGCCCTGGGTTCCAGCTGTACTGCTGTTGTCATCTTATTTCAGTGGTGAGAAAACTGAGCCTCAGCATGGTTTGCTAAGGTGCTCAGAGTTTCAGCATGCTGAGTGTTTCTGTTGGGTGAACCCATGGTGTACACAGTTCCCCCATTTGCAGCACACGGAGCACCCATTTGTGATCTCCCATTTCCCACTGCAGGCCGGGCACACAAAGACCCCAAGTGCTACCCTTCTGTCCAGTGTGCCATCCTGCAGGTCCCTGTCGCCCAGTGAGGACAGTCCCAGCTGCCACTGCAACCTCTCCAGTGAGGAGCTGGCCCAAAACTTGCAGGAGAGTATCAGACACTGGATCCTCCACCTTGCAGAGCAGCTAAGAGTGGAGGAGGCCAGTCGAGACAAGAACACCGTGGGCTACCTCAAATTGGTGTCCAGTGCTGACCGGCACCAGGCCCCACACATCCGGCAGGCCTTTGAGAAGGTGAACCAGCACACCTCTGCCACCACTGCGCACATTGAGCGACGACTCCGTCAGTGTCACCAGCAGCTGCAGGAGCTAGAGGAGGGCTGTAGGCCCAAGGGCATGGTGTTGATAGCTGGAAGCAGCTTGGAGAACTGCTAGCAGCCCAACGAGATGATCTCATTTTCCGAATCTCCCCAGTTAAGCAGGGGAGCCCATCAACCCAGCCTCTTAGAGAGTTCCCCTGCAGGTTTACAGCAGGGCAGGCCCTCAGAAACAAAGCCTGCAACTCAGCCCCCTCACCTGCTGTTACTGAAGGTGAAGAAAGAGCTGGAAGACATCCAGAAGACCCCCTTCCACCTCCAGGTGTCCTATCAGAGCCTAAAGGATAGGTATTTGATGGACTTGCAGGTGTCACTGGAGTCCCTTCAGGAGCAGAAGTGCAGGTAAGGCAGAATCCCTTATCCCACATTGCTCTGGGTTCAGGAAGCAGGTGAGGGATACCCCAGCCTTCCAGAGGGTGAGAGGGAATGGGGCCATGGGCTTGGAGAACCAGGTGAGGGCTTGGTGAGAAGGAAAGTTCTATGCTTCTCTTGACTCTTGGTGGTGTCATAATAGACTGCTGACCCTCCTCCTGCCATCCCACCACCGCCTTGTCCCTTGCTAGCAAACAAGGTTCCAGCTACGCAGTCCATGTCCATGGTGGTAGTGAGTTCACAGATACCCACTATTAACTGGAGCTAAGGGGTGGGGAGCAGGCTGGGTCCACTGGGGTACTGGATCCAGGACTGGAGAGCCCCCAGCTGGTATGGGCAAAGATCAAGTTTCGCAGACTCCTTCAGGAAATGACTGTCTTCTGGTCAGTGCTTTCTCCCTGCTGTGCAGGCGTTCGATTTTATTTTTCTCTAAGGTAAGACTAGGGCCCACCAAAAATGAAAAGTAAAAGACAAACCCTATCTTTCCAAGGATCTTCTTGATTCCTACTGGGCTCCCCCCTACTTTTAAACTTTCTTTCTTCCATGAGTAAGAGAGAGAGAGAAAAGAGAGCACTCCAACAGGATTCGATGCTATGCTCCATCCCTGGTCTCACCAGCCTGGGTCATGGATGCTGTCTGGTGCTGACAGGGATGTCTCTGGATGTGAACCTGGAACCTTCTCATGTAGGGCAGCCTTACAGAGCCTCACATTTTACTGCTGTGCCATCCTCTGGTGCCTGTTGGACCCCTTTCTGGATTCGCACTGGTCCCCAGATCTGTACCCAGTTAACCTCATCCTCCCACTAGCCTGGCTGGGGAGCAAGACAGGACTTCACTTAGGTAAGCTGAGATCTTTAGCACTTTGTGAAAATAAGAATTTGCGCTTCTTGGGGCCGGCAGGTGGTGTGGTGGTTAGAGGTGCTGATTGAACACAGTTCAAGTCCTGGATCTGGCAGCTTTCTTTCTCCCTCTGTCCCTCTCTGGTCAAATTAAAAAATAAGTAAATAGGAACCAGCAGTTAGCGTAATGGCTATGTCGCTGGACTCCCACGTAGACGTAGTCGCCCACAGTTTGAGCCCCGGATCCGGTGGCTTCAACTCATGCTGAGCGCATGTGCGTGCGTGCCCAAGATCCCGAGAGGAGAATGGAGGAGAAGGGATTGCGGCGTGACCATCCCCCCTGGGGGGTGATTTCTCACTTTCTGTCTCTATGTCTCTCTCTGTCTGTCTGGCGAGCGCACGTGCCCTATAGCGAAAACCTCTCCAAAAAATAAAAATAAAAAAAATATAAAAGACTCAACGTTAAATTAATAAAAAGAACTTGCACTTCTTGCAGTACCTGTAAGTAGGGGGAGGAGAGGTGAGTGGGAAGCATGAGCTCTGGCATCCCTGGAAAATCTTACCAGCATTTATGCAGTCTCAGAAGCCACAAAGGGAAACTGAAAAATCTTAGAGGACAACTCATTATCAAGTAAGACAACCAGCCAGGTTTCTTTGGAAGATTACTTTCGTAGGACATGGCAACCAAATCAAAAATCTTAGGATTCTGGAAGAGCCCCTCATCAAAATAGCACTTCTCAGGACAGTCTGATGTCAAGCAAGAACAGTGCTGGGCAGCTCTAGACACCCCCTAGGCTTCTGTGCTGTGCAAGCCCTAGCAAACCAGAGTCCCAATACAGGTCTGAGCATGGGGAGCAGGGAGACACCCCACCCTTATCTTTTGAATTTTACAAGCTTGAGTTGCTGATCCAGCACCGCTCACTGGACTGTTGCACTACTGTGGAAAGGGCGTCTGCTACGCTCAGCCTCCAGGAATTCTGCTTGGTACAGCAGTCAGCCTCCCCAGCTAGCACTTTGTCTTTCAGGCTCAGACTCCTGAGGAGGGCTGGCCAAGGAGGAAGGGTGATCTTCATGGTGATTGTATGCTCATACCCACTTGGGGGTATGAGGAGAGGTGGCATTGTTCTCTTGTAGTGTTCAAATACTCCACTTTATAGGTGAGGAAACTGAGTCTTGGAGGGGTGCAAACAGTCCTCAGAGCATTTTAACATGCCTTGGCTGTGCAGCTTCCTAACCTAGGAGACAGGAAGGGGACAGCCACTAAGGGGACCCAGTAATTCATGACATCTTTAAAACATACACTTCCTAGGACCAGCAGGTGGTGTGGAAGTTAAGGCAGCTGGATCCCACATGGCCAACTGCATGGTTCAACTCCTGAACCTGGCGGCTTGAAAAATATGTTGGATGTGTGTGTGTGCCCAAAATCACGAGAGGAGAATGAAGAAGGGATTGCATGTGGCCTTCCTTCCAAGGAGGTGATTTCTCACTTTCTCACTCTCTCTGCTTAGTGCACGTCTTAGACCAAAGTTAAAAATAAAACATACACACCTTTAAAATCATATATATATA